TCTCCCAAAGCACTGGAATGACAGGTGTAAGCCACCACACCAAGCCAATATATTGCTTTGGAAAGCATATTTTGCCTTCTTAACTTTTCCTCAAAATTTCTATTCATTGTTACTCTTCCCAAAAGAGCAAAGGTTTTCCACAGTCACATCAAACATCATATGCCATATTTGTTTTGCTGGTATGATGTGATTGTTTTGCAATCCCCTCGGTACACTTGCCCAAGCTACCTTGGTTTATGCAAGGGCAGATTTCTACAATTTCAACAGAGATAACTGTAAACAAAAGTGGTTTATTGGAAAACAGAGTTGAGATCCTAACTGCTCAGCTGCCATGTAACCTTGGTCAAGTCACTGCATTTCCCTGAGCCTTACCTTCGAAGGAGAGTTATTGGGCTGACAACCACATGGAGGAAGGATACAAAGGATGGAGCAGGCTGGGTGTGTTGCAGGAGAGGGAGGTGGGGACCCTGCAGCATTGCTGACGACACACCCAGTTTAAGGGAGGCAGCCACCACCTTGTTGCTATTCAGAAATGTAGGCTGATAGTTGACAACTCTTCTGATTTCTCAAAAGAAGCGGTGGAAAACTGGATTTCTGTAGGAATTTCCTGATTCTCAATCTGACAATAATTCAAACTTTAACAATCTCTTCTCACAACACATTCCTTCCAGCCACACTGAGTTTGTGGACCAGCGGTGTGCAATCCCTGGGCCCAACACCCTCCAGGAGGAGGGTCCTCTGACCCATGCTCTGTGCTATACCACACGGGCCCCAGGACTCTGTGGAAAGTTCCCCAGGCTTCCAAGGGCCTGCACTCATGGTCTCTTCCCCTCAGGGCTCGAAATTCAGAATAGTTCTAAAATGTATGTGATAGTTCTAAAATGGACATGACCTAAGATATACATTGCATAAAATGTCCTAATAATTTGTATACTACATACTAAGAGATCGAGTTTAGAATCGTAACCCTTAGGGTCCTCATAAACCTCCTTTTTGTTTTAAACATACCATGAAATTCATCCATTTAAAGAATACTGTTCAGTGGTTTTTTGGTCTATTCACAGAGTTGTATAACTGTCACCAGAACTTAATTTTAGAACATTTTCATCACCCTGAAATAGAATCCCATACCCAAGAGCAGTCACTCCCTACGCCCCATGCCTTCATGCCTGGCAGTCATTAATCTGCTTTCTGTCTCTATAGATTTGTCTGTTCTGGACATTTTGCATAAATGAAATCATATTTATGTGCCCCTCTATGACTGCCTTCCTTCGCTTGGCATAATGTTTTCATGGTTTCCTCATGCTGTTGCATATATTCATACTCCATTCTTTTTCTTGCCAAATAATATTCCATTTTATGAATTATTTATCCATTTATCAATTGTTGGACATTTGAGTTATTTCCACTTTTTTCATTTAAAAAAATCTTCATTTTTGTTGGGTATACACATAGGAGTGGAATTGCTGGGTCTTATGGTTTTGAGGACCCTTGAAACAGTTTTTCAAAGTAGCACTATTTTACATCCCTATCAGCAATGTATGAAGGCTCCAGGTGTCCTACTTCCTCTCCAACCAACGACTGTGATTGTCTTTCCTGTTGTAACCATCCCAGTGGCTGTGAAGTGGTGTCTCATTGTAGTTTTGGGCTGTATTTTCCTTATGAGCAATGACGTTGAGCATCTTTTCATGTGCTTTTTGGCCATTCATATTTCTTCTATGGATAAATGTCCATTCATTTTCTTTGTTTGTTGTTTAATTGGGTTATTTGCCTTTTTATTGTTGAATTATAATTGTTCTTTATATAATCTGGATATCAGTCTCTGGGCGCCTCACTTTTGTCCCCCAAATTTCATGATGCTCCAAATATTCTACTTTCTAAGAGAAAGCTATTTATTGTAGTTTTGTCTCATTGTAGTTTTGGGCTGTATTTTCCTTATGAGCAATGATGTTGAGTATCTTTCCATGTGCTTTTTGGCCATTCATATTTCTTCTGTGGAGAAATGTCCATTCATTTTCTTTGTTTGTTGTTTAATTGGGTTATTTGCCTTTTTATTGTTGAATTATAATTGTTCTTTATATAATCTGGATATCAATCTCTGGGCGCCTCACTTTTGTCCCCCAAATCTCATGATGCTCTAAATATTCTACTTTCTAAGAGAAAGCTATTTTATACGTGTAAATAATAAAGTTTATTTTTTAAAGGTGCCTGTTTGATTTTATCAAGTTTTGATCTTACGATACTGAAGAAATCTGATATTGCTTTTTCCTGTAATCATGTTGTATTTTTTGATAAAAAATAGTTGACGTGTACCTGTCTGTTAAATCCTGAAAAATATTCTAAGTATTGTCCTTTTTAATTTTGTCTTAACCATGCCAATGGCTCACTCATAGTTTCTAAAAATAAAAGATAAATATTAGATTGAAAAATACTTCCAAAATGGGTTTGCCTCTCCGGGGGAGAACTCTAGATCACAAGGAGGATAGGGAAAAGAGGATTACTTGTTGCTGTATTTTACACTATCTGGATATAGTGCCATTAACAAAATTTTTAGCAAAATTTGAATATGGACTGTAGATTAGATCATAGTATTATATCAGTCTAAGTTTCCTGATTTTGATAATTGTATCATATTATATAAGAGAATATTACTGTTTTTAGGAAATTAACAGTGACTTGTTTAGAGGTAAAGGGATACCTTATGTGCAACTTAATCTCCCCTCAAAAATGCTAATGTGTATTTATAGGGGAATAATGATAAAGCAAATGTGATCAAATGATCAAATGATTTGAAGAGTATCCTGGAATTCTTTTCAGGGTCTGTGCCATTTTTCTATGCATTTAAAATGATCTCAAAGCCAGACTCGGTGACTCAGCCTGTAATCCCACACCTTTGGGAGGCTGAGGTGAGTGGATTGCCTGAGCCCACAGGTTCGAGATCCGCCTGGGCAACTTGGCGAGACCTCATCTCTACAATAAATAAAAAAAAATTAGCCGGGCGTGGTAGCACCCCTGTAGTTCCAGCTACTTGGAAGGCTGAGGCGGAAGGATCGCCGGAGCCCAGCAGGTCGAGGCTGCAGTGACTGGGAGCGTGCCAGTGCACTCCAGTCTGGGTGACAGAGTAAGACTCCAACTCAAAAAAAAAATTATCTCAAAATACAAAGTTAAAAAATAAAGTTTTTTATATTTTTTTTTATTTTGAGTCATTGTCTCACTCTGTCGCCTAGACTGGAGGGCAGTGGCATGTTCATGGCCACCACAGCCTTGACCTGCAGGGCTTAGGCGATCCTTCCACCTCAACCTTCCAGGTAGCTGGAACTACAGGCATGTGCCACCACGCCTGGCTAATTTTTCTTGATTTATTGTAGAGATGAGGTCTCGTCAAGTTACCCGGGCCATTCTTGAACCTGTGAGCTCAGGCAGTCCTCCCTCCTCAGCCTCCCAAAGTGCTGGGATTATAGGCATGAACCACCACACCTGTCCTAAAAAATAAAGTTAAAAAAAAAAAGATGCTTGCAGAATATCCTGGTCATATATATGTAATCATATATATATTATATATATATATATATATATATACACACACACACACCCCACATATATAAAAAACTTAATATTAGGAAGGAAAGAAAGAAAGAAATCATAAGTAAAAACTCAGACAAGAAGGGGAAAACTTTGAGCCTCATCAAATAAATTATATTTATAAAGTGACACGGAAGTCATTAAAGAGATTACTTTAATTATATAAAACGTGAACCCCCAAAAATAGAAATAAAAATTGAAAGTTGTCCCACAATTGCATGCTTTCTGGCTACCTTGTTTCTTGAAGTAGTTGAGGAATGTATCTTTCTCACAAGGTTTTACCAGGCAATTTAATACCCGATTTAAACACTATTAAAATGAACCAATGACTTTCACAGTTAACACCGGGTATCATAGCACAACAAAACCAGGTGGTTTCTCTCCAGTGGCTCTCCAATATACCGTCCACCTGCATTCCTTTGGCGTTTGTTATTGTCATAATTACTAAGGGTATACCTTGGCTATCCTCACAAAATACAATGCTCTGATTTATGTCCTTCATTGTTATTAATGTGGTCCTTGACAAGTTCACCTGGGAACTTGTCAGAAATGCAAATGTATGGTCTCTATGCCAGACCCATTGAATCAGAAATTCTGAGGGAGGGGCTCAAGAAGTTACACTCTAGGGGATTCTGTTACACATGTAAGTTTGAGAACCACTGTTGCAACTGAACCATCCAGAAAAAAAGGGAGGCCTGGCACTGTGGCTCATGCCTGTAATCCTAGCACTTTGGGAGATCAAGGCAAGAGGATTTGCTTGAGCCCAGGAGTTTGAGACCAGCCTAGGCAATGTAGCAAGACCTCATCTCTACAAAAAATAAAATGTTAGCCAGGCATGGTGGCGTGCGCCTGTAGTCTCAGTGACTCAGGAGGCTGAGAAAGAAGGATCACCTTAGCCCAAGAGGTCGAGGCTTGCAGTGAGCCATGATCATGAACTGTACTGCAGTCTGGTGACGAGATGAGACCCAGACTCATAAATAAGTAAATAAATAGAAGTAAGAAAGAAAGAAATCATTGACATTCACGACACAGAAGTTTATCTTCTATAAACTAGCATCATATGACTATTGTGAGCTGAAACACTGAGAACCAACTATTCAAAGTCAAGGATAACCAGGGGGCCGCTAGAGTCACAGCATTCCACCACTCCCAACGGCATGGGACCTACCTAGGCCTTCTAAGAATACAATGGAGTGTCTCGTGCTTAGGTAGAGAAAATGCTCTATGGGTAAATCCAAATTCTTTAAACTCGAGTGACCATAGCTCCAGGTATGACCATGTTTACTTCAAATTCTCATTAAAAAAAAAATTTCATCCCAAAGAGCTGCCCATTTCAGCCTCTTTGGCCACAACTTTGAAGGTGTCTTTAGCTTTTCTTCTGGAAGCCACATGCTCATGGCTCGTCTTTATTTTTCCAGCCAAGGGTTACCTTCCAGTTCAACATTTACCTTGGAAGAGGGGACCATCTACTTGACTGCTGAGCCCAACGCCCTGGAAACGCAGGATGATAATGCTTCTGTGCTTGATGTCTATTTAGTAAGTAATTTTTCCATTTCCTCCTCTCCCCTTCTGGTTTGTAAATGGATCCAGGTCACGGCTTATACAAGAACAAGTTCTATAAAATCAGGCATGCTTGGGTTTGAAAGAAAGAACGGCACCCTGTCACTTCTACAAATGGTGAGTCTTTTCACAAGCTGTTTTCCCACAGTTCAGTAGAACATCACACAAAAGAATATGTAGGTTAGTACTAAGTCACCATATATAACAAGAGGACAAATCCCCTCACGTCGAGGCAAAGGAGGGTCCCTGGTATTATTCCTGACAAAGTAATGTCTTCCTTTCACTCCACTGTGCTCCCTTATGTCTGAATCTTCTGCTTGTTGGTAACACTCTTTGATAAGTTCGTAGGCTAAGAGGCGCAGGCCATGGGAAGAACCCAAATTCAACACCAGAGAATGTCGGCTCACTCACTCCCCAGATGTCACCAACCAGTTGTGGGATTTGGACAGGAACTTCTCTGACTTTGTGTCCTTATTTGCCAGAGGAGAGAAATAATGCCTACCCCAGCTCTCCTGGAGTAAAATCCAAAGTACTACATGGTCTGGCTGGTCTCCCTTACCTCTCTGGCCCACCCACTCCTTGGGCCTCTGTCCCTCTTGCTTTTGCAGTTCCAGCCACACCAGTCTCCTTGGGGTTCTCCCCACTAGCCAAGCATGTTCCTGCCTCAGGGCCTTTGCATGAGCTGTTCCAGTCTGCACACTCTTTCCCTCCCACCCCATGCTTGCTCCCTTACTTCCTTCAGGTCTCAGCCCGGGCATCTCCTTCTCAGACAGGCTTTCCCTGACCACCCTATGTAAAATAGCATGTCCCCCGCCAACCACTGTAAAAGGACTATTTCCATAACCCCTGAATATCCTGGTTGTTGCATAAACAGATTTTTTTCTCACTGAGCAGTGTTCCTCCCCATCACTGCCCTCTCTTTAAAAAAGCAAGTGATAGCATATCACAAAATCCTTACAGAAAAGTTAAACGGGGGGGAAAAAGGTGGCTGTTATTGTTGTTATCCCGTGGAAGGTTGAGTTCATCTGAAAGTAGAAATCAGAAAAGCCTTTCAGAAAGAAGCCAGGTCAAATCTCATCCTCATGAGATGCGTCTTTACTAAAACCAGATTTGCGCCCACTGGGAGGTGTGATGCTCCACTCCCTGTGCTGCTACACCAAAATGGAAACCTGTGGAAGTCCCCTGTCATTGTTGTGACTGACCATTGATACAAGTCTCACCTCCGAGTCACTGGAATCATGCTCCTTATGAAAGTGAGAAATGGGCCGGGCTCGGTGGCTCAGCCTGTAATCCCAGCATTTTGGGAGGCCGAGGTGAATGGATTGCCTGAACCCGCGGGTTCGAGACCAGACCAGGCAACATGGTGATACCTCGTCTCTACAAAAAATCAAAATATTAGCCGGGTGTGGTAGCGCGCGCCTGTAGTTCCAGCTACTCGGAAGGCTGAGGTGGAAAGATCGCCGGAGCCCAGTAGGCGAGGCTGCGGTGGCCGGGAGCAGCCACTGCACTCCAGTCTGGGCGACAGAGTGAGACTCCAACTCAAAAAATAAAAATTAAAAATTAAAAAAAAGTGAGAAATTGACCCAAAAAATAAAGGAATGGGGGGGGGATTGGGATTGAGAATGTTTTTGTAAAATCCTACTTTAATTTTTTATCGTTCTAGTAAGGCAGTTCTCAAAACTTTTGATCTCAGGACCCCTTTAAACTCTTAAAAATTATTGAGAATCCCGAAAAGGTTTTGTGTAGATAGGTCATATCTAACAATATTTTGGATTTTTAAAATTAAAACTGAAAACATTTTAAATATTTATTAATTAATTTGAAGTAATGATAAATCTATTATACATAATTTAAATAACATTTAATGACCATAACTGTATTTTAACACACAAAAATAAATTTCGGGAGAAGGGTGGCATTACTTTGCATTTTTGCGAATCCCTAATGTCTGGCTTAATAAAAGAAACCAGATTCTTACATCTGTTTCTACATCAGTCATTGCGATATATAACACATCATTTTACTTCTGGAAAACTCCATTGTACACACAAGAAGGAATGAGAGTAAAAAGGCAAATGGCATCTTAGTATCATCAGGAAAATAGTTTGACCTGATGGACCCCAGAAATGGTCCTGTACAGTTTTTCTAGTATTTTGACTTCATCTCTTCACCCATTGCAAAACCAAATGGGACATACATTAATTTGAGAGAAATGGGCACTTGGAGTCTTATTTATGTCTCTGCCTCTCATTAATCATTGACTTTGTGCTGGGCGTGGTGGCTCATGCCTATAATCCTAGCACTTTCAGAGGCCAAGATGGGAGCATCACTTGAGGCCAGGGCCAGGATTTTAAGACCAGCCTGGGCAACATAGCGAGACCCCATCTCTACGAAAAAAAATTTTTTTTAATTCAGAGGCCAGCCACAGTGGCTCGTGCCTGTAATCCCAACACTTTGGAAGGCTGAGGCAGGAGGATTGCTTGAGCCCAGGAGTTCGAGACCAGCCTGGGCAACATATGGAGACTGTGTCTCAAAAAAAAAAAAAAAATTTTTTTTTAAATTAGCAGGACACCATGGCATGCTCCTGCTGACTGCAGTCTTAGCTACTTGGGAGGCTGAAGTAAGAGGAGTTCTTGAGCCCAGAAGTTCAAGGCTGCAGTCAGCTATGATTGTGCCTCAGTGTCCTCATCTATAAATTGAATTTATTAAATCAAGCTCATTCTAAATTACAAAGAGTTGCAGAAATAAGGTTTTCCAAGGTAGCTACCATTGTTTCTCCAAATTGTGCTGTTTCATCATCTCCTCTACCGTAAGCCTTCACATTATTTAAACTTAAACTTTATGGCAAGACATCTAGAAAGTTCTGCCCCATTAACTTGCAATTCCAGGGTGTGTTTTCACGCTGGAGACTTTTATTTTGTTTTGCATGCTCTTCCAGATCTGAAAGGATACAGCTCATTGCTCTCCCTTCAGCCTTTTCATTTGCATCTGCATTATGAAAAAGAGAACGGCAAAGGCAATCACCAGAAAGGAAAACCAGTCTTGCCTGTGCATTTGTCTCCTTTTGACCTAATTCAAGTGCTCTGAATCCTAGCCATCTTTACCTGAAGGGAAGTTGGAGGTTTCTCTGGCAGCCTTCTGTTCGGTGTTGTCACTAGATGTAGTCAGATTCCTCTCAGAAGGTTTCTCCCCCATTAAGACAACATTTCTCTATTAGTAGATGTAACCTAACCCCATTGTGCTTTTTTTTTTATATGTACACTAGTGTATGATACTGTTTATAGCCCTTCAGAAATATATAGGCTTAAACCCAAATGACTTCTGCCCACCAGATAACATATGAAATGTCCTTTTAAGGATCCACCCACACATCATGTGCACATGAATTAGGCCAGCTTAGCCTGCTTTTTCCTGTGATTCAGCATGAAATTAAAAAGGATCTGTGACCTTAGAAGGCACCTAATTGTTCCATCATCCTTATTAAAGCGTTTAGTTCAGGCTTGATGTACCTAGTTATCCTGAACAGCTTTTAAAAGGCTGTTCACCTTCACACTGCAGAGTTCCAAGCTATCTGATTCCTTTGCAAATATTCAAATCCAGGGAGGTGTTTTCTAAGATGAGTGCATCCGCTGAGTGACCAAAGATGTTTTCCATTGACTCTTGAGTTTATGAAGTAGATTAGGGAACTGTATTTAAAAGAATACAACAGAGATGAGCTGGCTGTACTGCCCTAAAATGGGTAGCTGTGCAGTCTTCCTAATAGAGTGAGATTCCACTTCGTGAATAGTCCCAGATATTCTAAGACACTGATGCTGTCACCGTGGCCATTATTTCTGTTTCTAAGGTGGCTTATTTGCCCGAATGCAATTTGGTGTTAATGGGAAGAGGAACAACCAACAAAAAGCCATTCCCACTGAAAAATGTCACAGGAGAAAGTGTGCTTTTACGACTAACTGGGAATGGCTGGGTAAGTGGGAGATAATGGGATTGCTTTTTTTTTTTTTTTTTTAATAATATAGAAGTTTGAAAGATGGCTGCCACCAAACAATGACTTTCTTGCTTCTATTATTCAGTCCTGAGGTTATGCCCTTTTCTTTTTACACTTTCCATATTAACATCCTCTCAATAACATGTACTTTCATCCAGTTTTGCTTCTCGGCAAAATGACTGTTTGAAGTGCAAAAATAACTGTGGGTGAAGAAGAAAAAACAGTTAAGCCATATTTTAGCCACGCCAGTATTAGGGATTAGCGCTTTGATGGGCAGCTGTTGGACAGCTTGATTATTTAATGTGTTTTTAGGGCGGTTAATAATACTCTTTGATCACGGGAAGAAGGGTGGCAGAGAAGTGAAAATGATTGAATTAACAGCTTATCATACTATTATGTATGGGAAAAGCCTGAGAAAAAGAAGAAAAACACTTTAAATTGGGTCACAGGGGTCTTAGAAAATTCAGTGGAACTTATTTTGGCAAGAGAAACTGCATTTCTGGATTTAAATCCCTTGGCATGAAGGTTAATGACTTATATGGGGTCTCTTTAATCATTCCTTGTGGGAGTCAGTACTGGCTGCTGCAAGGGGTGTTTATTTGAAACGGTGGCAATTCTGTTTTCTCTCGGGAGAGAGCTGGGTTCCCCACCAACTGATGTTGCTGCCGGAGTTTTGGGTAGACATCAGTGAAAGCAGAGTAGAAAGGAGAAAAGGCAAAGGCATTTAACCAGAAGGCCGTTTCCTTCCGCACACGACCACATTGTTGAGAAACGAAGAGATTTCAGAAAGGGTCAAACAGGACCCTTTGTTTATTCCAGAAATGCTTGGCCCCTTAAGTTATTGACCAAGTGATATTTCTAAGACATGTGGAAGAGTTGAAAATCCCACTGCCTGAGTCTCACAGCTCCTACAAGATATTCCTATTCTTGAAATAAGAGTGACGCAAGCTTCAAATTAATGAGGCAACCCGTCAGTCCGGATTAGGAG